GGGGAGGATATCAACCAGCTTCACCAGCAGCTCCAGACAAAGGAAGGGGGAGGATATCAACCAGCTTCACCAGCAGCTCCAGGCACAGCAAGGGGGAGGACATCAACCAGCTTCACCAGCAGCTCCAGACACAGGAAGAGGGAGGGTATCAACCAGATTCACCAGCAGCTCCAGACACAGGAAGGGGTAGGATATCAACCAGCTTCACCAGCAGCTCCAGACACAGGAAGGGGTAGGATATCAACCAGCTTCACCAGCAGCTCCAGACACACGAAGGGGGAGGACATCAACCAGTTTCACCAGCAGCTCCAGACACAGGAAGAGGGAGGGTATCAACCAGATTCACCAGCAGCTCCAGACACAGGAAGGGGTAGGATATCAACCAGCTTCACCAGCAGCTCCAGACAAAGGAAGGGGGAGGATATCAACCAGCTTCACCAGCAGCTCCAGGCACAGCAAGGGGGAGGACATCAACCAGCTTCACCAGCAGCTCCAGACATGTTATGTGCATAAGGGGTAGGATATCAACCAGCTTCACCAGCAGCTCCAGACAAAGGAAGGGGGAGGATATCAACCAGCTTCACCAGCAGCTCCAGACAAAGGAAGGGGGAGGATATCAACCAGCTTCACCAGCAGCTCCAGACACAGGATGGGGGAGGATATCAACCAGCTTCACCAGCAGCTCCAGGCACAGGAAGGGGGAGGATATAAACCAGCTTCACCAGCAGCTCCAGACACAGGAAGAGGGAGGATATCAACCAGCTTCACCAGCAGCTCCAGACACAGGAAGGGGGATGACATCAACCAGCTTCACCAGCAGCTCCAGACATGTTATGTGCATGAATACTGGTCGTGGACGAATGTAGCATCAACAATTCGTGTGGCTCCCATTATTTCAAGCCAGCGAGTACCTGACAGTGGTCCGAGGCTTGGCAACTCCGTTCTAATCCAGACAAATGCAAAATGATGCACGTTGGACACTCCAATGTTAATCAAATGAAATACACACTTAAGGAAAATGTAGAACCTTTGGAATTTGTGAAATTCGAAAAAGTTATCGGTGTCATCATAGACAATAAGTTTTAATTTGGTATTTGACACTGCTTTCTCTCCCTTGGTTGGTCGTTATAGACAGGTGTGATACAATACTGAACCTCAGTTCATCAGCCCCATACCATGTATTACAGTACATATCTATACAATTTACATGCATGTAAAACCTATATTGGTCAACTCGATACTCCAGGGGTTACACTCACTTTCGCTCTATGCACCCCTAGAATATGCCATAGCCAAGTTTAAGGCACGTAACTAGCTTTTTGATTAGTAAAAATACATTTGAAGATTACAGAGGAGCGACATTCGACTTCAAAGTCAGTCAATTTTACCGTTACGCGACCGACAGATTATTTTGATGTACATCAAAGGATCAAACTAGTCTTCTTGTCTCATCTACAAGGTGACGCACACTGAGCCTGACATTTCCCAGGGGTGCAGAGAGCGAACGTGGTCGTAACCCCTGTATATCGAGGATGATATTCATTTCCTTAAAATCAAGGACAGCGCTCCTTTAATGCATTGTTAGCTTATGGACGATCAGTATCATTAAAACTTCAGGTGGACAGAACTTGTTCTTGGATTCCAAAGTATCAATAAAGCAAAAGATTTGTGCTACCACAATAACACTGAAAATTGCACTCGGCGTGTCGTAAAGCTGATAGGTTTGCTTCTACTACCATGTTAAATGTTAATACTATGTATTACAGCAAAGCTTTGTTAGCATAATGTGTATTATTAACTAAAATATCACAAATACTTGGAGGAAAAAATCAGGATTTTGGCACGATTTGTTTGCTAATATCTCATACGTTTACTGTTTATAATCGTTTTAAAAGTACAAAATTAACATGTTTGATTGAACATTTTTTAAATCTTTTGAAAACATCTCGATTTTTGAAATTCTAATTTGTAACACATTTTGCCATGACCACATTTCAGTTGACCAATTGGAATATACAACCAAACGCCCAGTTTATCAGGGTTTGCATAACCCATGTAATCGTAACGTAGATGAAATCTGATTGATATCAATTTAATACTGGCCTAAAGTAGACTGACTCTAGTCCCAGCACCACTCAACACTACAGCAATGGTGTCATAAACGGCATTGAGACCTGAAATAGCTCGTTGACCTTAGATAGTCCGATCAGGATTCGTTTACCTAACATAGCCCCGCTATCTAATTATCGATGGAAGCCCGGTACAGGCGTAGTCAAATCAGCTAACAGTAACATATACCCACAAGTTTTCCTCGCGTTTGTAAAGTTGAGATCATTACATTAATTTACACAGGTTAGATTTAATCATCAATAAGATTCATCAGTTTGGAAATATGATATATAAAAGTTTTACTTCCTATACAAACAATGTACCATTGGACGTCTCGCAGCGTTTCAAGACCACGTTACGACACGTTTAGTACGTATATTGTTGATGTAGAAAGTTAAACTTTGATATTAGGTTTAATTTTAATTTCAATTGCAAAACAACTTTCACTAAACTACTCAATACTCTGAAATTTCTTAAAAAACCCCAATGTGTTCCATAAAGAATCGCATATAAACTAAACGTATTTAAAAAGCGTGTACAAAAATATATATCATGATAACAGTAGCCCGGTACATGTAAGTTGTCTCGTAGGGTTTGATCATGATATGATTACGTAAGCAGGTGACCATGCAACAGAGTTATTCTGCCGTAAGGTGTAACACGTGCCGTCATGTAACGTGTACACTTCACACACGAGATGTATCGTATATGGCTCCGGGACCCAATTTTGTGATACATGTAGTTAGGAAGTTTGGACCTGATCACGTGTAGGGAGTAAGTTTGGACCTGATCACGTGTAGGGAGTAAGTTTGGACCTGGTCACGTGTAGGGTCGGTACGAGATAAAACACTGATACAATACAACACTCTCACAAAGGAAGGCTACCAACAACAGTATTCATTAGTAAGCAGCTACCGTAAAGTTTGAGATAGATGGTTATGTAGAAACTCGCGTAGTTATGCTGAGAATTTATCTAAAATATATATAATTTGGTGGTCAGTGCGTCCACGAGCGGACAACTGTTAACCTGTTGCTCAGGTGGTACTGTGGTGTCTCTCATACGCATGTTGCGAATAAGGTTACGTCGCATAACTGCAGGATTATTCCTCAGTTGAGGGACAGACCTTTTCAAGGCCTGTACGAAGCCTGTTATATAATATATATATATGTGATTTAGTGTAAATGCCCTAGAAGGAGCATCAATATCCAATGAGAAAGAGATAACATGAATAGCATGCAACCAGTGACTAGTACATGTACTACTTAGAATCAATGACAAGTACGACGTAAGATAGCAGGTCACACTAATACCAGAACCGGAGTGTGAGGACCAGCATGGTTCTTTTTAAAACAATTTAAAGTTATTGTGCAAGTTAGAAAACTTTCTGTTTTAAATTTAAAATAACATATAAATACTTACTCATCAATATTTTTTTTGTTTTTTTTTGTTTTTTTGTTTTTTGTTTAAGTGACCCAAATCCTGCCATGCCCAAAACAATCATTACTAATTACACTCTCACAAAGGAAGGCTACCAACAACAGTATTCATTAGTAAGCAGCTATCGTAAAGTTTGAGATAGATGGTTATGTAGAAACTCGCGTAGTTATGCTGAGAATTTATCTAAAATATATATAATTTGGTGGTCAGTGCGTCCACGAGCGGACAACTGTTAACCTGTTGCTCAGGTGGTACTGTGGTGTCTCTCATACGCATGTTGCGAATAAGGTTACGTCGCATAACTGCAGGATTATTCCTCAGTTGAGGGACAGACCTTTTCAAGGCCTGTACGAAGCCTGTTATATAATATATATATATGTGATTTAGTGTAAATGCCCTAGAAGGAGCATCAATATCCAATGAGAAAGAGATAACATGAATAGCATGCAACCAGTGACTAGTACATGTACTACTTAGAATCAATGACAAGTACGACGTAAGATAGCAGGTCACACTAATACCAGAACCGGAGTGTGAGGACCAGCATGGTTCTTTTTAAAACAATTTAAAGTTATTGTGCAAGTTAGAAAACTTTCTGTTTTAAATTTAAAATAACATATTAATACTTACTCATCAATATTTTTTTTGTTTTTTTTTGTTTTTTTGTTTTTTGTTTAAGTGACCCAAATCCTGCCATGCCCAAAACAATCATTACTAAAACCAGGACAGGGAAAACCGGGACCAAATATTTATTTAAAGTATTTAAAGCTTATTTTATGTTGTTGTTTCATGTAGGAAATACAAGAACACAATACTAAATGTATAAATAAAATAAAAAAGATATGTTTCAAATACTGTTTTTACTTGTTTACCGATTTAAATCATAATACAATGTATATTTTTTTTTATATTAACTTGTGATAAAATACATTTTTATTATTCATGTCATATCAATTCATTAAGGTAGCTGCATTTAAAAACATGAAAGAAACACATTAAAGCACTTGGTCCTGGCTTTCCGTCTGGTTTTCCGTCTGGTTCTGATATTAGTATGACCCTGAAATGGCACACAATGCCAATTCGGAGCTCTCTGATTATATCAATTTCCGACCGTAACCAAACAACAGCGCCGCCGTGCGTGGAATAGCAGAACAATGTCCAACAATCCTGTATGAACATGTGGATCTCTCTGACTTTATCCATCACATTTTGTTTGGAACTAATTTCCCCACTTGTACCTCTACGAATGGTGACATCACAGACAGCAGGTAACCAGTCACTGCCTGTAAAGTATGTTAGCGAGCCAATCAAAGTAGACAGACTATTTATATCCATGTGGAAACCCCGCAATATGGCTGGTACAGCGACCAATTCTAAAGCTATCATTCTGGGATGGTAGCAAGTAGGAACACAACGAAACAGGAACAGAAGAAAATATATTGTGAATCCCGATATGTCCGATCAGGAAGAAAACCCAGGTTCTCCAAAAGTGATAAGATATAGGTGGGTCCCATAATTTGACTATTACGCATTTTTATAATTTCGTATTGTAACTTTATTCTACCGTAAGCAGCAAAAACCAAATATGAAGAAAGTCGAACTTTAAGAAATCGTAAAAGGTCTGCCATTTCACAAAATTAGGAATAGTAAACAAAAATAATCTTTTACAAAAATATTAAAGGTAATTGTTCATGTAAAACAGTTCCTGGTAGACTTGTGGTAACATTATGCCATGCGGAAAACCAGTGGTGTTACAGATAGGTGCGGGGACTCACCATCATATGTGATGTCACAACGCTATGACGTCATTTGTTATCAGTGACGTCACGATAAAATAACAACATCAAAGTGATTCCTAATTGTCATCTGATGTCATCAACTGTAGTACACGTATTGTTACGTATCCAGGACGAGACGTCACGTCTGTTTGGTTTTACCTGTTCCGATGGATCCTGAATTCGCTCACATATTTTACACAGTGACTGGTGGTACACTTCCACCATATTGTAAACGTCATACTGCAGTTTTTCACGAAGAATCTTTAAATATTCCTCATCGTGATCGTTTAAATAACTTAAATGATCTGCTAAATCTTTCGGAGATTTAAAATCCGCAGCATTGATGTAAGTTCCATTTGGTAATATTTTATTGTATAAAGCTCCTCCGCGCACTACGGGGACCAGAGGAACATTCCTGGAATAGGTGTTGAATAACTTCTCAGTGATATAATCCGTACAATGATTATTTTCAAATGAAAGATAAAATTTATGTTTTAGCGATAATATTTTGTAAGCTTCAATAGACGTATTCTTAAAAGAAGCCACCAAGGGAGCGCCACATTTGCCGAACACGTCTATATGTACATGGTTGTTCATCTTATTTACATACTGTTGTCTGCCATTACGGGCGTTACAGTTACTCACAAGCCATGCCACCGGGTGTTCCTTCTCCTTACCCTTCATTATCTCAGGTAAATCCATATTTTCCTCGTGTTGTTTCCTAAATATTTTGCCGTAAGGTAGAAATATGTCAGAGTCCCTTCTATAGGTCATCATCCAATCAAATTGCGTCCTCCATTCATTCCGTATAGGATAAACACTCTTAGGACTTTCTAACGTATAAAAGATCCAAAATTGGTCTTTGCGACGCTTGGGAATTACCGACGGTAGGACAGATCCGTGGAAAATTACGGCATCACTGCTATTGATGAACTCAGGGTTTATTACATGTGAACAAGAGTTAGGGAATCCACAAGTAGAGAATTCCATGCTCCTTTCAGAATCAATTATATGTTGAAAGTTCGGTGGTTTATACCAGAGAATCCTTCCGGTTCGCCGTTTCCGGATATCATTCCGGATATCAAGAAAAAGATCGTTTAATCCTAAACTGTTCTCTTTTTTCAGCAATGTATTTCCCACATATTGACCATTTTTAGCAGACTTTGCGTTAATTTTCGAAAAGGTTTTGGCATCAGGTTGCTGCCACATCGCCTTTATCATGGCGAACCAGACGGCATAACTTATAATGAAGCAAACGGAACCGGAAATGATGCTTTTCATACATCGATGTCTCATCGTAGTTGTCTCTGAAACATAAAAACAGCAAAGATTAGACACCGAATGAAAATCTGAGGACGTGTTCATGGTTATAACTGTAGTTAGATATCGGTTGAAGACAACGACAATTAGTTCCTGATCGTGATTTAGTCTCGAGTCATCATTAGATTAATTAGTAGAATTTGAGTACACTATTCTTGTATAAAAGATGGCTTTGTTAGATTGTTACCAAATGGTAGCTCGGAGTTGAAACATTTTTCGCCTGGGCGAACGCTAAATACTGAGACAT